ACAGGTAGTGTGAATGCTTGCAGAACAGTAGTTAAAACCCTTATAAAAATTAGATCACAGAAAAAAGTGCTCACTTACTCAATTCTGAAAATTATTATCTGAAGTTAATAGTCCTGCTGCGATCAATAGGAATAACAGAGTCAAGAAGTGGAAAAGAAAACATTATAAAATCGGTGAGCGCTTTTAATTTTGGGATTATTGCTTTACGTAGAATTTTTATAAAGCCAGGCTCACCTGTAAATAAAGCGCCTGCCACAGAAAATCCCAGTTGGATGGGTTTTTACATCTCTGATGACGATGGTCCAATTTTATCTCTGTGTAACTTCATGCACCTCAAGAGCCTGGTCCGGAGACTTGCAGGCTATGAAGCAAATAAAAATGCCAGTCTGATAACTTTTTGAAGCATTAGACGTGCAAAGTTGACATTAAGCTGCTTTCCTCAGCAAAGGTTCTTACTACATTGTATTGGGGAGTTATTTAGCAAAGCCTCTTTCAGAGATGTTATTTTTTTATATACCAATCTCACAAAAACCTTACCTTTGCTACAGGAACTGACTGCTTTGAAAGCTGTCTTAAGTGTTGCGACCTGCCAGAAACACAGCATTACACTTTTCTTTTCTTTTTTTAACAAACTAAAACCCAAGCTGAAAGAAAGGAAAACTACTTCACCATCCACGCAGGAAGAACTGTACCCACAGAGTATTTTGGAAAACGACGAAAAAGTTAACGTCCAATGTTGATCAAATCCCAGGAATTGCCAACTTTAAACTCAAACCGCTATTACCAACTTAATATATTTAATGATAACAATATATTTAATGATTTATATTACACAAGCTTTTACAAGAACAAACCTGTGTTGGTTTTAGCCTGTTTTAAGAGAAATGAATGTGTAACGCTTCCAAGAATGAAACAGTAGCAGAAACAGCTCTGTGGATCAAACTTTCGCCTGTTTAATCGTTAAAGAGTATCTGCAAGTTTATTCCCTGCAGATTCCCACGCTTCTGCATTAATCAGTGCCTTCCCGGCAGCTGAGTAAAGCTCAGCTTCCCCCTCTCTAAACCTACAGTTCCCAGAGCCCATTGCAACACACCCTCTCCACGTTAAGCAATCCTCAGACACAATGTTTTTTTCACTAAGACATAAGACAGATTCTTCAAAAGAAATTCCTTCCCCTACCCCTCATCTCACCAGCCCAATTCCTATTTTTATGGTATATAGTCGAAGCAGGGAACTAGTTTCTAATTCTACCAGTACATCCCTGCAATAAAAACACTGGCGGAGCAAAAAAGTAATAAATCAAAGAGGGAAAACAACTTAGAAAAATACTTTCCATGCTGGAATACATTTTAACGACATCGATGATTCCTGTAGGGAATGAGACCAGCACAAACTACCCTTTGATAATTGGGAAAGGAACAAAGACAGGGATGACAAATAAACTTGAACTGTAAAAGAGACAACCAAAAAGCCTGAACTGAGAACACGCCGAGTGCCAAAGAGAGCTGGGAGATACAGCGTGTGTTACTCAGCTTTTTGCGCCCGACAACTAAATGAAGCAATTCGATTTCAGAAAGTAGCCAATTATTTTAGGGCCGAAACAAAAGCTGGAGAAAATACAGCTGCCTGGGGGAGGGTGGGGGGAGGGATGGAGAAAAAGGAAAAGAAAGCATTGCATTTGCAATATTCATGACAACCAATTTGTAGACGAGGAAATTTAATTAAAAGTCTAGTAAATTTCTTTTATCTTGGTAATAAAAATGACGCGATTTTTTAAAAACACTGACAACAAAGCTTAATATGCAATACTTATAGCTTCAAAACTCACAGGAAAGGGCAAGTACTGAAAGGGACAGTGAAGAGACCCAGAAAAACAAACCTTCAAAATGAGAATTCTCCTGCAATGACACATTTTACTCTCGGGGTGTTTTGATGTGTTGTTTTCTCAAAGCTGTAAGGAAAAAAGACTCAAGATTGAGACCAAAAGAAAAAGTAATTCCTCAGGCAGATACTCTAGCAGAGCATCTGAGGGAATTTGATAAAACAGGTAATTAAGTTACTTGTCTTACGTATTTAAAGCTCTTAAGTACCTGCTAACACTTCAGTGCTGGTACACACTTCACACAACACCGAGGCATCTGTCAGTTTAACTTCTGAACACATTGTCTAAAAGCCTGAACAGGTTTAGAATAAGCTCTAAGCTGTGTTTTTAATTAATCATAAAACAAACACAACATCCTCACCACAGCATGACTAGCAGCGAAAACATCTGTAAGGCACACAAAGGGCTGTCTCCCATGCACACCCTGCCCCACGACTCAATTTTAGGCTCCTGAGGCCTGGCATATTTTTTTTATTATTATTTATTTCCTACTTCCCTGAGTGACAGCGCTCTAATGCTACTCCTGCGAAGAAAACTAGAGCCTTTTCAGCACTTCTGAGAAATTCAGTGACAGAGATTTTTGCTTTAATTCAATATTCTAAGGACACTGGTAACACGTCAGCATCACTCCTTGCTTTAAGTGTCCTTAACATCTACCTTCTCCCAGTTGGGGATCTCGTCATAGACAGCAATCTCATAATATAAAGAAAACTCCACACTTCTATTTTGTTTTTAAGAAAGTATTTTTAATGACGTGCACAGAATTATACAACATAAAACTTTAATTCAAGTTATAAAAATATGTATATTTGATTCCAAAATGCTTTGATTGCCAATTGGATCACAACACATTTCCTTACAAATTGTGCCCTTTTCCCTTACCCCTCCTCCCAATAAAAAGTTTTTGCTCCCTTTGTTCTATTTTGCTCCCTTTGATTTTGTTCTCACATAACCAACTTCCTAATCTCTAATAAAAACAGGTTTTAATTGGTCCTGAGGTATTGCAAGGATTGATGCAGTCTAGGTGACTGCTTTCATATGTGACAAAACATCCACTATGTGCAAATCCTTAAATCAACAGGAGTTTATCCTCTGAGGAAGAGTATTTCTTACAGCTGGTGAGCACTTCGCTACAAGTTATTCCTACTGAATCTTAAAATATCCTGGTTATATGCAATAGGCAGCATACCTCTTCTCATATTCCAGATAAATCTGTCTTCTGTGAGCCAGAAGACTTTTTACAAGGGGATAATTAAAACATGTTACTGGGCAGATTGAACTTGGAACTGTTAGAGGGCTGTTTCACCACAGACATAATCTTGCTAACTTCACTTCAGCTCCACTCTGCTCACAAAGACTGCTCAAAGGCAGCAAGGAAAAAAGGCTGAAGCAATCATTTTCTTTAAATACTGCAGAATGGAGGCTTTATCTACTGAAAAAAACCCCACCAACCTCCAAAACATTTGAGCTGGTCGCACAGCTGAAGGGCAGCCCTGTATCTCCTACTAGAAATCAGGAATCGACAAGTACTGGAGCAAGCACTTGGAGAACTGTACCTGCCCAAGAAGCAGAGTACTTTAAATAATGCAGAATGGAGGCTTTATCTACTGAAAAAACCCCACCAACTTCCAAAACATTTGAGCTGGTCGCACAGCTGAAGGGCAGCCCTGTATCTCCTACTAGAAATCAGGAATCGACAAGTACTGGAGCAAGCACTTGGAGAACTGTACCTGCCCAAGAAGCAGAGTAGAAATATCTGTACTGTTCCTTTACTCGGACACAAGCACTGACATTCAATATACTCTGATTAGAAAAAGACTTGTGAGGATCACTTCAGGAAAAACCTTAATGAAAGTTCATCTTACAGCAGTTTCCATCAACTACAGTCAAGGATTCAAGTGTCATCATCTGAACTAAAGGCACCAAAACCTTGAGAATTATCGATGTTAGGCTGTTTGTGCAGAGGAGTGGTGTATCATACGCTGACACCCAGTCTTCACAGTAATGGCTCCATGTAAAAAGAACTTGAAAGGAGCTAAAAGTCACAGAGGTACAGTAGCAAAAGAGAAGCCTCTTCAAGTATCTATTTGTGTAGTCAGAAGGATGTCTGCAGTAACAAACAATCCTACTCATTCAAGCACTAATGACTGCAGAAGACTTTTCCCCCTTGCACAGAGGGCAGTCTCCAGAGGCTTCCACAGCCCCACGTGTCTTGAAGCTTGTGCAGTTTTTCCACCCTTAGGTTAGGCGTGAAGCCCATTTTTTGAAGTGTGTTCCAAATTAAAGATGAAAACTGAATCTGGTCTTGTTCATAAATCCGTTTTCCTCTGCGAGTTGCTTACAACCACTTTCAAAAAATGTCAAGGAACAGGAATGCTGTGAACATCTGTGAGGCACAATTTCTTTGACAGTTTCAGAACATTTCCTTCAGCATGAGGAAGGCACGTGATACAAACTTTTGATTTCAGTTCATTTTCAACCCGGGCACATTTCTGCCATGAAAAGGCCACCACAATAGTTACCAGCCCTCTTGCACCGGAGTCTTGTCACTGCGACTGTAGCTCAGGTTACATTAGCTTCTACGGAGAGCAAATGTATTTCAAAAATTATGGAACATATTCACAGAATCACAGAATCTTAAAAAGAAAATCCACAGACAGCTAGGAGGTCTATTCCTTCCCCCTTTCATACTAGTTATAACAGACCACAGAATAAAAAGGAAAACTAAACTCCCTGTGAAATTTTAAATTATAATTGCCTCAGAAGTGTCTCTGGGTGTATTTCTAGAGAGGATACATATGAAAAGTACTGCACCACAGCAAATCTTGGTTTGGGTGGGTAGTAGAACAAAAGCGTGAGAATTTCTACAAAATAGCGTTTAGGTCTTCTAAAAAGTTAAAATCTCTTAATAGAAGCATCAAACTAAAAAAGCATTACCTGAAAGGCATTTTTTTAATATTAATCTTCATCTGACCATAAGTCAACCTAACAAGGCACATAAATTAATGGCAGAACAAGTAACAGAAGCAGCGATATTGATCTTAGATCAGAAAAGTAGAAGGCACTTTGATTTCCTTCATCCATATCTGCAGGACATGGAAGCGTTTTTCTATTTATTTCAGCCGTTTGCAGTGTTGAGCTTCCGTTCAACTAGGTCTGCCACCAAATTCATATTACAGCACCGAAGAGCATTTATTAAGTCAGTCACCTTTGCATCTTTTCCCTTCCATTTCTGCCACTCTCGAAGTGACTGAAACAACTGTTCACGCAAGTTCAGTGGATAAGCTGCCACTATCCTCTCAATTCCCGTTTCAGGAAACTGAAGTTCTCGTATCAGCCATCTCCAATCCCTCCCAACATTGTCACATATGACTTCAAAAGCTGCCCTCTGAAGACCTGAAATAGCAGAAATATATCAAGTTAGTGACAGATTTACTAAGAAATACGAGAGAACTTTTGACAGTTAGTACAGGTGGTTTGTGGGGGGGAGGTTTGTTGTTTTTGGTCTGCTACTACTCTCATTGCATCATACACTCGGAAAGCTACACCTCATTCCGAAAAGCTGCTGGATCTACTCGAAATCTCAAGTACATAGTACGATTTCCAAGTGACCATTCAATTAAAAAAGTTCGAAATTTCCACTTGAGAAAGCTGTCTGCAGCATATGCTGCCCTCACGGTAGGTTTCCAGGGTATAACATGGCGCCTTGCAGCTAGCAGGGGAAGCACCCTTAGCACTGGGCTCAGCTACAGCTGGCAACGGGGGGAACTGCGGGCAGCCGAGCTCTGTGGATGCTCTGAGCGTACCCACAGCAACAGGATGCGTGGATTGACTGGGGCTGCTTGGGGAGAGGAATTATAAAAATGATACACCTACGTTTTTCACGCTCATCTAGTTCATCCTCAGGATTAGTAACTTCTCTTTCCTCTTGGAACTGTTTGACCTGCGAGACCAAATCTTTTCTTTTAATGCTCTTCAGCAAATATTCAAGGAACGACAGCTCGTATTCTGTAAACAGCTGCTGCTCGACACAGATGTTGAAGAGCTCCAGTGCACTTCGGACAGACTCAAGCTTCCTTTTCCCAATCTTCCCCTGGCAGAGAAACTTCAGTTCAACGAGTTCGCCG